GATGTTTGCAACAGGATGGATAAAAAAGTAATGATTTTTTATAAATCAGATTGATTTAAATCATGATTTAAATGTTTATAATTTTTTTATTTAAATCATCCAAAATCTGATCTGGTTTGTACTTTTGTTTATTGGGAGTGGAGTTGAGGTTAAATAATATTTGCCTTTGATGGCACAGTTAGTTTGTAGCAGGAATGGTAGAAATGGGGGGGGGCAGGTAACAGAGCTGTGAACAATGTCAAGAATAACACTCCCAAAACACCCCTCTATTTGTACTTAATACTGCACTCACTCCAGAGTGATAACTATGCACAGAACGCTATACGTTTTCCCAGGTGCAAGGTGTTTCCACAAAAAGATGCTTACATATGAATGTGTTTACAATTAGTGCATGTTGCCCATCTGTTTCTCAACAATAGTGCGGAAGTGAAATCATAGCACTGCCATTCACAGGAATGAGAGATACAGATCATGTGTGCCTGTCTGCTATAAAAGCTCACTGTGGTCCGTTGTGAATGGGCCCTTGAGCTCAAGGTCAAGCAAATCAGAAATTGAGTACCTGCAGCCCTCCAATGGTAGTGGACTATGAAACCCATAATCACAGAACATTTGCTGTGTTGACTAGGACTTATGGGCGTTGAACAACTGAAGAGCAACCAGTCCCCCTCTCCACCTTATTAATTAAATTATACCTACTTTGAGGTATCCCTGTGGTTAAGGAAATGGAACTTTGAGTGATATCCTGTACAAATCTCATCAGAAGTAAATCTTGTTGGATTTAATGACACTTACGGTAATCTCAGGTCATTTTGTTTAGGACTGAAGATTTAGCCATTTGATAAGATGAGCAGTGAGACTCAGTGAATGCAGATCGTTTCCTAGAAGGCCAGATTTTATCATAGCTTATTGGAACTGAGAGCATAGTGACTGTTTTTGTTTTTTAAAGTAAAGAGTGGCTTCTGCTATAACCCAGACAAACCACACATGGAAATAATCTCATAGTTGTGGTTTTGCGAATCTGCCATGTTTTTGCTTAAAACCAGCCTTATTTTCCTTGTAGTTGATTTCTAAATTATTTGCAGGATCCATAGACTTCTGCTTTGGTGCCCATAAACGTCCCCTATTGGCATGCCAGTGGATGGGTATAGTCAGCCAGCAAAGCATCAATTACTATCTCTATTGGGATGAGCAGCGTCCAGAGGCTTAGAGGCTGTGCACAAACATCACCTATGAGACCCACAACCACACCCCCTTCCATACCCACAGACTCCAATGATCCTTGCGCTCTCTAGTAGCGTGTGTGTGGCATGTATATGCACATAGTGGCATATATATGTCTGTGCAGCGTGTGTATATGTAGCGTGTGTGTATATGTAGTGGCATGTATATTATATTTACATTTAAGGCTAACTCTGCACCAGATGCCCAGTTCTTCCTTCCCTCTCACATCACCCTGAGTCAATGGGGTCTGCAGTAAAACATGGAGTTCCTCAAGGTCTCCTGCTATTTCTGCCTCCCCTATTGCCTACATCTCACCTACAGCGCCTGGCACCAGCCCATTAGGCTCTCATTCCTGTTTCTGTCAGAATACAGAAAGCAATGCTTTATTATACATATCCCAATTTGAAACATGTCTCCCAGTTACCTATCTTGAGCGTCCAGTACTTTGCACATCAACCAGCTGGGACAAATGAGCATGACATATTGATGCTTCAGGATAATTCCAGAGTATTATAGTTCAGGTGTATCCCTCTACTGTAGCTAAGATGTGTTTTCATTCTTTGAATGTTGAGAGCTTATGCTGATTCAAACATTCTGACTGCAGGACAGCTCCTTCCTTCCTTCTTTCCTTCCTTGTGGTTGTGAAAATATTTTATAATAAATAGTTCGTTACATTTGTTGTTACTTTTGTTGCTTTAAAAGGACAGCTGAGGTTTGACAATGGCATAAAACATGAAACATTTGTGTCAATATGCTTCTAGAATGCCCTTTAAAAGTAACTTTTCAAAATAACTGGAATGTATTGGAGCAATCAAGTGGTTTTATGCCCACTTGTTATATTACTTATGACCTTGTTACAAAAAAAGAGAGAGGTTAGTGTATTTCTTGCAACATTTTACTTCAAGGATTTATGAGTTACACAAAATTGTTTCTTGTTTTTGAATTAAGTGACATCTTTCTTGCGCAGTTGTGGGAGACTCAGGTCAGAATCCAATTTAGTATTTCAGCTGGATCTCAATCTGGCTTCCTCCAGAATCAGTGGCACCGCTCCCTCACTACTGAGCCCCCCATTACACCCTCAGAGCACTGGAGGACTGGGAAACCATTTAGAGCAGATTTTCTTTAAATGTGCAGAGAGCTACACGAGGGACTGCGATCGTCACTAATTCTGATGGGATCTAGCTTAAGAAACCAAATGGATCGGAGCCTCTGTTTCCTGTACCTTTAAGCTCCAGCAACCTCCCTGCATATCTTCAGTGAAAAAGAGCAGTGGGTCGAGTTGAGTCCTGTTCTCAGTCATTAGAGACAGCACCTCTACTCAGAGTAGACCTTTCGTCTAGATGGGCCGGATAGAAATCCAATAAATAAATAAATAACTAAATAAAACACATGTTCTGAGTTTGCAGGGTTCTAGCTTGTGCGGAAATCCAATAAATAAATAAATAAATAGATGTTCTGAGTTTGCAGGATTCTAGCTTGCACAGAGGATCCCTGCTTCAGATTCATTGCTTTTTTGCATGGGCACAGCAACAATGGGAGGAGTAAGGTCAGGATGCTTCCACACCCACATGTTTACATACCTCAGAGAGAATGCCTGGACAGAGTTATAAATGACTGGATCTGTGACAAGTGGGTAAGGTCCCCGTTAAATTGCTCGCTGGGTGTGACATTTGCAGGCAGAAATCTGGCATCTTATTTATCAGTGCTTCCCAACCTTGGGTCTCCAGATGTTCTTGGACTACAACTCCCAGAAATCCTGTCCAGCACAGCTAGTGGTGAAGGCTTCTGGGAGTTTTAGTCCAATAACTTCTGGGGAGCCAAGGTTCGGAAGCACTGCTGTAGGTAGTCAGGCAGCTAATGCTGGGATGACTTTGTGGTTGTGCACGTCACCACTCATGATATGGGGAAGTGTAGTCTTGAGGGAGACAGAACAGTACTGCATAAAATAGTATGTAAGAAGTGACTAGGGAGACATTTGTGTCCTGGTCTCATCGTACTAGAACCCAGAGCATTCACTGATGCTATCTGGTGGGAGATTATGGAGAGAGAAAAGGAAACATTTCTTCACAATGTGAATTAGTAAAACTGAGAAATATGCTCCCACAAAATATAGCAAAGGCTAGCTTTCATTGGGGATTAGGAAAAAAATCATGGAAGGTAAATCCTTTAATTGCTTTTAGACATCCTGGTGACTTTTTTTGTTTTTCATCTCCAGTGTCAGATGTTATGCCTCGGTGTAGCAGTTGTTGGGGAACAATGCTGTACCATTCATGCCCTTGTATTGGGCGAAATCACTCTTGGTGGCCTTCATTGGTGCCCAACAGGAAAAGCAGGTCACCTTATCTGACCTCTTGTGAAGATGTTTTGCCTCAAGAGCCAGTGTTAGTAAAACAGCCGAAGGCTTCCAAATAAGGGAAGAGCCTTGCCTATTTTTGTGGTTATTGCAGCTTCTTTCCAGAAGAATGGGATCATCATCAGAATATGTCCTGGTTCTCAACATCTGTCAGTGTTCAGTGGTACAAAGCAGTGAGTCAATTTCAAAAAATCAACCACTAGGAGAGGGACCACTGGACATTTTGTACTGAAATTTGTGCAGATATGCAGTAGAAATATAAATGTAGACAAATAAGATGTGGCTGTAGCTGTGGAAGTTGTAAGGAAGCCCTTGTAAAAAATAAAGCACTCTCCTTGATCAATTGGCTGAAATCCAGTAGTAAGTTGCAAAGAGAATCAGTGGGAATTTGGTGATTCAACTCATCTCTTAAGTTCCATTGATCCAATGAGCCTATAGTGAGGTCTTGACTTACGAATGGCCCGAGTTACGAACATTTTGACTTACGAACCGCTCTCATAGGAAAATATTGACTTGACTTACGATTGGCTGAAATCCAGTAGTAAGTTGCAAAGAGAATCAGTGGGAATTTGGTGATTCAACTCATCTCTTAAGTTCCATTGATCCAATGGGCCTACTCTAGTTCTGACATACTACTAGTTTTCAGCCACTGAATCAATAGAACTTACATAGGTTTTGACTTGCCAAATCTCCACTGATTCAGTTGGCCTGCTCTATTTGTGTTTTATCACTGGATTTCTGTAATTGGCTGGAATCTTACTGCTCTCTGCCTAATTTGCTGTGGCTAATTGATGAGGTGCTGGGTTTCATCTCAACTGCACAATCAGACATGTAGCCAGGCACACAACTGAGATGCACCTCAACACCTCACCAATTAGCTGTAATTACTTGTGCCAGGTATGCAGACCTTAGAGGAGCACTGATAAGATTCCAACCATTACAGTTTGCTCTTATGCTTCTTCCAAGAAGCTTAGCATGGTATGTACACAGATCTTCACCAGTAAAAGATTGTATACATAGACTTTATCTTCACAACAATCCTTAGCTTAGTTAACCACTAGTAATAGATATTAAGTTCATGATTTACTGGGGAATTTGAACTTGACTCTCCTTCATTTAAGTTTGATATTCTGTACCTCACTGCCTGTAATGGAAATTTTGGATGTGTTCCCTTTTGGATCGCCCTCTACCGTTCCTGAAACACAGTAGAGAATTTTGCTCTACGTTCTTTGGCTTGCTTCTGGATGTGATTTGACAAGCAGATGATCAACAGGCAGGTCTGGGAGGATACCCGCAAACGTCCTATATGGATGGGACAGTCCCTGTGCAAGGTGGAGTGAGGATTTCCCCCCTTCATTGTCTCCTGGGAAGAGCTGCCGTAACCTGATCTGGCTGACAGTCTCACTCTTGCGTCTCCCTCTTTCAGCAGCCTGGGGTTCAGAGTCCAGCACTTGCAGAGGAGGAGTTGGAGAGGCAGCAACTGCTATGATCCAGACGTTGTTGCTGCTGTTGCTGGCTGCGAATGGAGCCACGGCTACCAGCACCAGTCCCCGCCTGAAGCTTTCCTTTCATGGTAAGCAGTGTGGTGCTGTTGGTGGTGTGAATACAAACTCAAGGAGGTGGACAGGTGGGAAGAATTCTTACATGGAAGAGAGATGGCCTCTTCTGGGGATGGGGAGAGAGGTACAAACTTTCTCATTTCTGATGCTTTGGGCAGCCATCCCCAGGAACATCAGAGGGATAGCGTGGGCAATGTATTTTCATGGAGCAGGTCTTGGAGAGACAGGCTATACAACAGTAAGCAGAATTAGAGCTGGGGTGGAGCTTGGAGAAGTTACTTTTTGACATTGCTGTCTCCAGGAAGTAACATTTTTGAATGTGACTGTGGAAGGAGGGTGAAATAGGATGGTGAGCAATATTCTGGGTGTGTTTGTCTCCTGTTATCGTTCATTTGCTACTCTCTTTACTCTGTGACACAACAAATGGCTGTTGCAGAGAAATGTGTGAGCTGGAGGGAACTCAGATGCTCTAAAGTGTAGCTGATAACAGTCAGTTTCCAATTTGTGCTTGGGGCAAAGATGGCTGAAACATCTGGAAAGAAGTCTATCGGTTAAATCTGGAATAATTCTATTGTGGTAACAGTGAAGTAGACTATGTTTCTATTCACCTTTACATAATTTTGGAGACCAAGTTTCTTCACATTAGCTTGACAGTCTCAGTTTTGTGTCTCTTTGTTTCAGAGGTCTGGATCTGATTCTCGCATGTTATGGGTGCACTTCTTTCCATTCTGTGCATGATATGTGTTTGAGTTCTGTACAGTTACAAACACTTTGGGGAAAAGGACAAAAAATAAACAATGGTTCATATCTGCACAACACGCTATGGGTTAAGAGGTAATATTAAACACACACACCCCCAGATTTAAAACAAACAGGGAGAGTCTAATAAAGATTTGATAATGGGCAGCAATATACAGTAGCTGCACTTTAAAGAAGACTTGACAGATTAATGGACCACAGGTAGATGAATATGGCTGTTAACCAAAATGCTTGGAGTATATAGCTTGTGGAGAAGTGCAGGATACGTTATTTTTGCACAATCTATTTATATTTTAAAGAAAAAAAATATTGAGAATCCCTTTGGTCTGTAAATGTTTTTAAATTTAGAAAGGAAAACTGCATGCTCACACTTTATTTATTTTATTTATTTATTCAATTTATATGCCGCCCACACTACCCAGAGGTCTCAGTGGTAATGGCATAACTTTCTCAGTGGTAATGGCATAACTCATAATGGCCAACTGATCCAGTAGTGCACACACTGTTGCTCAATAATAGGTTGGTCTTCTTGGCAATTCCCAAATTAAGATCCCCCCCTTGCCTGTTGAAGTAGTGTGTACAAGATTCTCAGCAAGGGGTAGATGGCCCACTGAAATGTCACTCATAGTCTACTGGTAGTCCACAGTCTGCCTTCTACCATGTGGAGGCTGTCTTATCAGCCTTTCTCACAATGGTCAGGGATAATGGAAAATGCAGTCCAAAACATCTGGAGAACACCAGATGTTTTTGTTTGGGAAGGCTGCCCTTAAGCGTCTGAAAGTGTTTTATAAATTATATCATTGATCAGTGTTGCAGATTAGAACTGTAATGGGTGTTCATATGTGAAATAAGATATAAAAGCATCTGGCCTTAAGAGAAAGATAAAACAAAGAAACATATTCGGTCATGCACTCATAGAGACAGTCTCATAAAAAATCACGCTGGGATGATCCACAGAAAATGATCTAGTTCATTGGCTTCAGTTTAAAGAGAACCCCAGGGGCATCTAAACGAGGCATGGGAAGTGTGTGCCTCTCTGCAGTACATGTTTTTTGATTGTAGCTCCTATCATCCTTCACCAATGCTTATGCTGGCCAAGACTGATGAGAGTTGCAGGGCCACATGTTTCCATCCCTGATCAAAGTTGCCCCTAACCAGGATGTTTCTAAGTTCAGATTTTTTTTGTGTGTGTGTAAAACATCTAGTAATGGAGTCTTCCAGTTATCATTCCTTAAGAAGTCTCTAGCAGCTCCTGAGATACATATCACCAAATTTTGAAATGTTTTCCTACATCTCTTTATTTCTTTAAATTAAATGTTAAATTCATAAAGGTAAAGGTTCCCCTTGACAATTTTTGTCCAGTCGTGTTCGACTCTAGGGGGCAGTGCTCATCCCCGTTTCCAAGCCACAGAGCCAGCGTTTTGTCCGAAGACAATCTTCCGTGGTCACATGGCCAGTGCGACTTAGACACGTAACGCTGTTACCTTCCCACTAAGGTGGTCCCTATTAATCTACCCGCACTTGCATGCTTTCGAACCGCTAGGTTGGCGGGAGCTGGGACAAGCGACGGGCGCTCACTCTGTCCCGTGGATTCGATCTTATGACTGCTTGGTCTTCTGACCCTGCAGCACAGGCTTCTGTGGTTTAGCCCGCAGCGTCACCACGTCCCTTTTGTTAAATTCATAGGGTTTAGAAAATTCTGCACTAGAGTCCATGGATTGAAGTACATCAAGATCAGACATCGTGTTCTGCAGTCTTTTCTGCTACAAATGGCCTCATTTTTGCTGAGCTCCTTTGGCAGCCCCCCCACCTTATAATATCAAACCTAGTCTCGGTCACTGTGTCAGAGCTTCTTGCTACTGTTTGCGGGGATGGTAGTGGGGCTGCTTTTAGTGCAAAGGAACTCACATGGTTGGCTGGTGTGATTTTTTTCCTTCTGGATTCTGTTCTCTTCCCAAAATGCTTTCTGTTCTTTGGGCAATTGCATCTTATCTCCTATTTGGGGTGACTTCCCAAAGTAAAGGAGAAGCTACGGGAAAGAGGAAATGTGTAGACGGAAGGAGAAGAGCCTTGTCTGTTTGAAGCAGCAGCATTGAGAAGGCTTATTAGAGCTGATGTGCTCCCTTTGCACAGAGGAATGCCTCCTGAAGCATCTTGGAAGGGTTTCTCCCTCTCTCAACTGGGACTATTTGGAGAGCATTTGTCTGTATCTTTCTAGATCAGATACCTGTTTCTAATTACAGTATTACATGCCAGGCTGGGTTCACCAAATGCCACCTTAGTACCTGAGGCCCCCACTAAGTAGCAATTGCTCTCACTGATCACTTCTTTATTATTCAAGCAGGTTAGAGGCCCAGAGAAGATTAATTATTCTGGCTGAGGAAAAAAATGAGTATATGTAGCTATGCTTCAGTTTCCCTTGAAACAGGCTAATTTCTCCCTTGCCACTCTGTTCGTAAACAAGGTTTTATGGTAGGAAGGTTGTTTCCAAAATAAACCCAATACACCATAGTTATGTTTAAAAAGATGTTGTTAGGTTGTTTCATTTGGTATGGCTTGGTCTTTTGATTCACCAGCATCAGGAAATCAAAAGGTGCCTGAGAACAGAGCAGAAGGAAATGTTATTTTGGCTTTTGTGGCAAATGGTTAAAAAAAGAGTCCCATTCTTATTTACCTTACCGATTCTGTTCTGTTCATACTATAGAAAGAAAGATTAGTGACACACGTGAGGAAGCGTTTTCCTCTTACTTCTAGATCAGGCTCCCCTAACTGGGTATCCTCTGGATGTGCTCGGCTATAACTCCGGATGGTTGGTCAACAAGATCATTAGCCATGCTAGCTTAAGGGCAACACTGGGAAAAGCTCCTACATCCAGACCAACCCACCTGACCAGCCAGCATGGCCACGGACTATTCTGGCTAGGGGATCTTGGTGGCAGAACTTGTGAGGAAATTTGAGTGGGCCTTTCATAACTGACTTTTAATAACTTGCTGTAGTTACACAGCAGATAAAATGGTTTGGGCAGGAACTTACAGAGCAGATTGTTTTGTTAGTTTACCTCATCTGCCACTTATTGTCTCAGTACATTCACTCAGAGACTCTGGTAATGATAAAGAATAAAATGTTTCTGTTTACTTATAGTTCTTCATAGATAAAAACAAACACCATATTGTGTAAAAATGTTAATTTGTTACATTGGTGAGCTTAATTGGCTAATTAGTTTCATTAGTGACTGATTGGTCACATAGCTTCACTCTTAACTGTTTTCTTCAGATAGACTCCATTGATAACAACTGATAGAACCTTGACTGGCAAAAAGCAGGAAAGGTACAGAAGGAACAGCCTTTCCATTTGCCCATAGAGAGCAAGGATGAGCTTGGCCTGAAGGCAGAACAGCAGAATGTCAAGAGGCAGGTTGAAGACACAGGTGCCTGGGGATGGCGTGGGCCAGCCAGGTGCAGAGCCTCCTGCGAGCTTGTAAGCAAAACAGAAATATGTCACTCCTAAAGGTCAGAGTCAGTGAGCTTATCCAATTCCTATTTTGCATTAGGGCTTGCCACTCTGTCTGATAAGTTTTCATTGACAGATGGAAGGGAGGGAGAAAGAAACCTCCTTTCCAATCAGCAGTGGCAGCAGGAAAATAGCAGGCAAGGGTGTGGAATACTGGAAGCTAGCCAGGTTGTAGCAACTAGAGCAAAGGACAAGTTATCAAGATGGGACCTCACTCAGCAGGGAGGCTTCAGCCTCACTTGGTGACAAATCTGGACCAGTCATTCCTTCTCAATTTGATCTACCCCACAGGGGTAGTCACTGTATCATGCCTTGCTTCCTTGAGGTTGCCTCACCTTAAACTATTTTATTTCTTTAAAACAAATAGGCAGGAAAGGCAGCCTGATTCGTAACTGTTAGCTGTAGGCAATCAGGAATTTAGAGCAAGTCACTGAGTCAGTGCGTGGAGTCATGGATGAAAAACAGAGTGATCCATCTGGGTTGTCCTAATGGCCCCAAAGGATGGAAAGCCTTTTTCTCTGAGGCTGGCACAGAAATGCTGTAGTGGGTTGGAAGATTCCAGACTTCTAATGTTAGTCCCTTTGGTGGAGGACATTGTTGCTGCTGTTGTTATCTTCATAAAAAAAACTACTAGTCTGCTTCCCTGTGGCCAAAACACTGAAATGTAGATCACTAATGTCTTACCAGGCAAGGAGAAGATTTTGCAGAGTGGTAAAAAGCTTCAGGAACTGGCAGCTGGAAGTTA